GTGGTAGAGCGCCTAGCCTTGAGTTGAAGAGCTGAGGGACAGCGCCCAGGCCCAGAGTTCAAGGCCCAGAACCGACCACAGAAAAAAAAAAAAGCATCCTTCATCACCAAGCCTCAACCCTGAACCATTCAAAGCATAGTTCTTTGAAAGGCTCCAGGCTATCCCTCTGGGTCAGCCTCTATTCCCACTGAGGACCCCAGGACGTGGCGGTCTTAAGGAGCCAATAGAGGCTACACGGTAACTTGGGAAGGCCAACAGCCATGTAATGCCCTCTCCCCGTGGCTGTTCATGACTGCCTCAGAGGACACAGAACTTACAGGGCACCATGTGCACTTCTGGACTGTTCCTCTCACCAGTGAGCCCATCCCAACCCCCTCAAACAGGAAATATTATTACTTCTCATCTACGTACTCCCTAGCCTCAGTGCCAACCTGGAAACACTGCCATTTCTGCACATACCAAAGTCTGACTCCCCAGGGATGGACACAGGGACCAAACCAGACATAATCAGGAAAGTTGTTCTTCCAGACCCAGTGTATCTAGGATAGAGGGTGAGGGCCACTGGTGCAAGAGGCAGCCAACCAGTCACCCCGCAGCCCTGGGAGCCTAACACAGAGACTGCCTCCACTTCAAGAGCACCTACCGCGGGCAGAAGAGGCTCTGGGCCAGCCTGGGACAACTGGGTCCCCCCAAGCTTTATTAAAACAAGTCACCAGTAGAAATCAGGTGGGGCAGGAGAATGGGATCCCAGGCTCATCTGTTCTTCCCATAGATCTTGGGGGTCTGCCAGCCCTCAGGGGCCTCCTTGAGGCCTGCCTTCAGCCAGATGCGCTTCAGGTCTCTCTCAAACTTGGTCTGCAAGGACAAAAGAGTTGAACACCGATTCTTGACAAAACTATGCATTCTCAGCCCTTTTTCTGCCAATCCTGGGGCTTGAACTCAGGGTCTGGGCACTCTCCCTGAGCTGCTTTTGCTCAAGGCTAGCACTCGACCACTGAACTGCCATCCCAGCCTCTCAGCCACTTGAACAATCCAAACCCAAGCAGGAGCCCACACTCACCTGCTTTCGTTTCAGACGTCCTTCTCTAACCTTGCGCCTAAGGAACCGGGTCCTCTTGACCAGTTTGCGGTACTTGTGATGGTTCATCTTCCGACGGCGGATCTTCAGAACATTTTTGCACTGCATCGGAGGTGTGTATCCATCGCCCTGAGGGATCTCCTCCTCCACCAGGCTCGGTGGTGGACACTCACACAAGTGGGCTGGAGCCTCTGACACGGGGGCTCCAGCATCCAGTCTGGGGAACAGGTATCGCACCGTCAGCCAGATCTCCAGGGGGCTGATGGCCATCTTCCTGGGAACCAGCAACTCCTCGGGCGCCAGCTGGACCCCCTTGCCAGGGAGGGAGGCAGCCCTACTCGGGCCGACTGGCTGCAAGCCGTAGGGGGACCAGCAAGCACGGCTGCCTAGCGCCGCTGAGATGGGCCAGGGCCGGCTGCAGCCTGCGGGGAAACACCACCAATCACCACCCGAGACGCCGCCGGGCGGAGACCGCGCGGGGCTCGGCGGACGCCGCCGGGGGGGGGGGGACCCGCGCAGGACCCGCGCGGGCTCGGCGGACGCCGCCGGGGTGGGTGGGGGACCCGCGCAGGACCCGCGCAGGCTCGGCGGACGCCCGCCCCGCGCGGAGGGCCCGCGCGCTGCCCGCGCGCTGCCCGCTTTCTCCCGCAGCGCTCGGAAGGCCGAGCCTCCGGCAGCGAGGCCCCACGGCGGGGTCGGGCCGGGCCTCGGGCCCCGCGTTCCCCGTCCGCCCCGGCCCCTTACCTGTCCGGGGCACAGCCCGGATCAGCTGGGGGGTCAGGCGCGCCAGGAACATGCCGCCGGGAGCCAGGCCCCGCCCGCGCCACTCCCGACGCGCAGGCCCGTCAGGAGGCTCGAACTCGCCCCTCGGCCGCCGCGCTCAGGCACTTCCGGTCCGGCCTCACACGCGCTCCCCGGCCAGCGCCCCCTGGCTCCGTCACTCCGCACCGGCTTCCGGCCCAAGGGGCCGCCCCTTCCGCCAAGCCCTCTCAGCACGTCGGATTTGCGTCCCTGCCTCAGAGGCAAGAAAACCACACTTCCCATCATGCCTAGGGATTTCTGTGAGCATGCGCGGCCGTTGCGTCGCTTCCGGGCGAGGCAGGGCGCGGAGACGGAAGTGGCCTCGGGGTCCCCGCAGGGCGCTCGCCGCCCCCCACCGCTGACGGTCGCCTTCCTCTTTTGTGGGCCGTGGTCCTGAACTCTGGGCCCGGGCGCTGTCCCTCAGCTCCGCAGCTCAAGGCCAGCGCTCTACCGCTTCAGACACCGCGCCACTTCCGGCTTTCTAGCGGTTTGTGACAGTCCCACGGACTTTCCCGCCCGGGCTGGCTTTGAACCGCGATCCTCAGGCCTCAGCCTGATCTAGCTGCTCGAGGACAGCACACGCAGCTGGGTGGCTGGCTCGTCCCTAGTGACCCTAGCTGCCCAGCAGGCTGAGAGCTGAGAGGCCGAGTTCAGGCCCCAGTGCCTCTGTCTCTGTCACTCACACACACAGAGTATTTCACAAAGTTACGTTTTTTCCAAAACATCCACTTGCCCCCCGAAGCTTTTCTATAGAAACCTTACCATATCTGGTGCAGAGGCTGGAGGGGCATCAGCGGTGGGAGCTGTTCAACCCAGGATTCACCCCAGCCCACCCTACCCCACAGTACTGGGGTACTCAGTATCTGAGGCACGCTCCTCTTCCTTTTGTGTGTGCACATGCTCATGTGCAACCACGTATGACTAGGTCCGGGGGTTGAACTCACGGCCTGCGTGCTGGTCCCTGAGCTTTCATGCTCTAGCATTATGCTTCTTGAGCCACAGCTCTACTTCGGGTTTCCTGCCCAACCTGGCTTTGAACCTTGATTCTCAGATCTCAGCCTCTGGAGAAGTTAGAATTTTAGGTGTGAGCTAGCAGCACCTGTCTTATTCCTCTTGTTTTTGAGATAGGGTCTCATGATTTTTTTATGGCCAGTCCTAGGGCTTGAACTCAGGGCCTGCGCACTGTCCCTAAGCTACTTTTGCTCAAGGCTAGCACTCTACCACTTGAGCCACAGTGACACTTCTGGCTCTGTTTATGTAGTACTAAGGAATTGAACCCAGGGCCTCATGCTAGGCAAGCACTATGCCACTAAGCCACATTCCCAGCCATCATGCTAACTTTTGACAAGGCTGAGCATAAGCCTGGATCCTCCTATCTCTGCATAAGAGTCTCATGGACTTTCCTGCCTGTGCTGGCTTTGAACCTCGATCCTCAGATCTCAGCCTCCTGAGTAGCTAGGATTATAGGCGTGAGCCACTGGTGCCCAGATCTGTGAGACTCTTATCTCCAATTAACCACGAGAAAACCGGAAGTGGTAGAGCGCTCGCCCACAGTTCAAGAGCCATGACTGACAAAAAGAAAAAAAAGAAACAACTCCAAGGAAAAACATCAAATGATGTTGGCAACATGAACTCATCTATGGAGCAGCTTGTTGACAGCTGACCAGCACACCACTCGTGACTGCCTGAGCACAGGGTTCTCAAAGGCTAGTATTTAGACAAGGGTAAAAGCAGAACACCAGGGTGAATTTTCTTTCTTTTTTTGTTGCTGGTCATGGAGCTTAAACTCGGCCTGGGAACTGTTCCTCAATTCTTCAGTTCAAGGCTAATGCTCTACCACTTGAGCCACAGCACCACTTCCAGTTTTCTGGTGGTTTATTGGAGATCAGAGTGTTAGGACTTTCCTGCCCAGCCTGGCTGTCAACCATGAACCTCAGATCTCAGCCTCCTGAGTAGCTAGGATTACAGGCGTGAGCCAACAGCAACTGACCCAGGGTGAATTTTCTTAGGCAACGAGGGCCCAAACATCTCTTGCTGACTACAGGATGGACCACAAGGTTGGGCTTATGATTAACCAGCGTGTCCTAGTTATTATACTGTGGGCTGCCACCAGCTGTCCCCCTACCTGTGTGAGGATAGGGGGCCATTAGGCCAGCCCATAGCAGGGTTTGCAAGATACTGCAAACTTCTTAGTGCTCAGGTTGAGGAGGGGTAACAATCTGCTCAGAGCCCCCAGTAAGTGAGGTAGAGGGGTGGCCTTGGGCAATAACAACTCAGTAAAACTTCACAGACTGCAGCTATTTCCAGGGCTGCAGCAATCTCTTAAGTGTCATGGACATGAACTGGCCCCAGAACCCTAGTCCCTAGGGAGTCAGCCCAAGGGTCAAGACCATGACAGACTAGGGAATGAGGATTCTATCAGTCAAGAACCACAGAGGGGGCTGGGAAGGTGGCTCAGTGGTAGAGCCCTTGTCTTGCATGCTCAAGGCCCTGGGTTCGATTCCTCAGCACCACATAAGCAAAAAGAAAAAAGCCAGAAGTGGCGCTGTGGCTCAAGTGGTAGAGCGCTAGCCTTGAGCAAAAGAAGCTCAGTGACAGTGCCTAGGCCCTGAGTTCAAGCCCCAGGACTGGCAAAAAAAAAAAAGTGACTTTTGAGTTTTATTTACTATTTTGTGCCTATAATAGGGCTTGATCTCTCATTTGTGTCTTTTCTGCTTAAAGCTGACATGTAATCCCTTGATCCAGCTTCACTTCTGGCTTTTTGCTTGTTAAATGGAGATAAGAATCACAGACTTGGGCTGGGAAGGTGGCTCAGTGGTAGAGTGTTGGCCCAGCATGCTTGAAGCCCTAGGTTCCATTCCTCAATAACACATACCCAGAAAAGCTGGAAGTGTCACTGTGGCTCAACTGGTAGAGTGTTAGCCTTGAGCAAAAGAGGCTCAGGGGCAGTGCCTGGGCCTGAATTCAAGCCCCAGGACAGTGTGTGTGGGGGAAGGGAGGGACCCCCTCAATACTTGAATGAGGACGAGGAGCAGGGATGGCAACTCAGATATCCCCAGAACTGCTAAACCAGCTGTGTACAGTTGCACATGCTAAAAAGCACGCAGAATGACGACCTACAGTCTCTGAAATCCCAAATATCCTGAGAATTACATTTATTCAACCACGTGAAATGCATATATAGGAGACTTCTCTAGGAGCTGATGTCCTGCACTCAGCATTGCACAGATAAAAATATATGACTTTCAACACACACCTAAATTCCTTCACATTTAAAAAAATCAGAATTCTCTACACAAGTTCTCAGAAGTTCTGGGTTTTCATACATAGCTTTCACTTGTATTAAACTCATGTTTATTTACAACATGGATAGAGAATAAGGGGCTATTAAGGCCATTTTCTCATTGTGAAACAGTGCAAAATATGTACACAAGTACAACCTAATATAGGCAAAGATTCTAAAAATCATCTCTCTTGGCTTAACGTAATTGAGTATCAGTATGGGAGTGAAGACACAGCTTGTCAATAGCACCAAGCCACACCGACAGGGATGTGAGTCTCTGCCTTTCCATCGAGCCACCCACAGCTGTGGTGGGCCTTCCACTGGCACGGATGGGCACCACGCCACAGGCCAGCCCGAAGGGCGCTTGCTGTCATCCCCTCAATTGCATTTCCAAATCCACCTTGAGGTTCAGTCAAAAGCACTTCTGGAAAAGCAGTGTGCTAGGGGCCACGTGAGCTACGGTTTGCCAGAGGGGGCGGGTCCAAAGGTGGCCCCCCAGGGTGTCGACCTCACCTCCGGTGCCTGCTGTGCCCAGGCTGGTCCCGTTCATAGCGATGACCTGTGCGCTCGTATGAACCCGAACGCTCCCGCTGCTCATCTCTGTAGTAATGACTTTTCTTCTTGTATTTTCCAGAATTATCCACCCGCTCCCGTGACCGGCTCCGAGAACGGGATGAGCTCCGGCTTCGAGACCTGTGTGGCTTCTGGGCAGGGTACTTGCAGTCCTTGGGTTTCCGGGAGCCCCTCACCTCAGAGCCTTTATAGGGAGCACCACGGTGTGCCTGCCTTGGTGGGGAGTCGCTGCGGCTCCGAGAACGGCTTTGTGACTTGGACCCTCCAGAGGTAGAGCCACTGTCGCTTTTCCTGTGAGAAGATCAGCATGTGTGTGAACACACATGTTGTCTGTGCAAGCCAAAACCCAACACTGCACAGCTGACAGGCGCTTAAACTAAGGATTCACATAAGGAGGCCGCCTGTGGTAAGAGCTGCTATTTCAAGGGGTAGCCAGGCCCCCCACGACCAAGTAAACAGCCTGCCAGCCAGGGCTGGGTCTCACCGGTGAGTCCCAGGCACACACCTCCTCTTAGGAGAAGCGGACTGCGAAGGGGACCTCGAGTAGCTCTGCTCGCGGCTCCTGCTGCCACTTCGACTCTCCCGCCCTTTTGGCAAGCTGCAAACAGCAGTAGAGCAGTTGCAGACCTGGTGGCTCTAGCCACCCAGCCTTCACCTGGACACATTTGAGGCATCTTACCCATTCACAGGGCTGTCGGCCTTGGCTTTCTTCGTGCCCTCCACTTTCCTCTTGGCATTCTTCACAGAGAGTGGGGAAGACTTGCTTCCTTTACATTCTTTGGGGGATTCCACTGGATCAAATATAATTTTAAAACCAACAATCAGAAAACTGCTTCAAGGAGGATTATGTTAACAGAGCAAGAGAAGCAACTTCTGTAGGGTTGAGGAAGACTCAAACTAATATGTGACTCCCACCCTGGTGCTCAAAATCTAAAAACTCACACGACAAAGAGAGGCCCTTTGTTTAGATCATTTTCAGCTCAAGGACTGGGCACTACGCATCAAGTAACTGGAGTCTGACAATGCAATCTACTGCCTAAATTTCAGTCTTTGTACAATGACAAGCTAACTGTCAAAAAGGAAAGCATAAGGGGCTGGGAAGGTGGCTTAGTGGTAGAGTGCTTACCTAGCAGACATGAAGCCTTGGGTTCAATTTCTCAGTATCACATACACAGAAAAAGCTGGAAATAGGGCTGCATCTCAAGTGGTAGAGTGCTAGCCTTGAGCAAAAAAAGAAACTCGGGGACAATGTCCAGGCCCTGAGTTCAAGGCCCAGGACTGGCCAAAAACAGGGAAAGCATAAGCATTTCAGAAAGCATGTTCTCCCATTCTTCCCTAATATATACACTACACACACCCACTGCCTCATCTCAAGTGTCACCATGGGGTTGCTACAGATCTGAAAAGATGGTAGACTTCCCAGACAAGCTGTCAGTACAATTCTATGAATGAAAGTGATCTCCAGCAGGGTGCCAATGGCTCACACCTTTAATCCAAACTACTCAGGAGGCTGAGATCTGAGGATTGTGGTTCAATGCCAGCCTGGGCAGAAAAGTTTGATGAGACTCATCTCCAATGAACCACCAGAAAACCAGAAGTGGTGCTGTGGTTCAAGGTGGTAGAGCGCTAGCCGTGAGCAGAAAAGCTCAGGGACAGAAGTCAGGCCTTGAGTTGCCACACAACAACAACAACAACAACAAAGTGATCTGGAAGACAGACACAAGCCCTCCAATAAAAGTTTATCAGATCAAGATACCTATCTCTGTAGAAAGCAGAATGTTAGCCATGACCCCTAAACCACTCACCCAGCCTGGGGGCAGGGGAAAGCCCGGAGGCCCTGTCCAGCAGTGGAGCACCCCCAGGTAGCAGCCCCCTGGCTCGTGCCTTCGCCTCTTCCATGGCATGTCTTCTCTTTTCCACTTCACCTTCCAAGTGTGTTAAATCAACCTAAACAGCCAAAATTCACCATTGAGAACCAGGTGATTCTGGTACAACACAACACTTAACAGCTGTTACATGAAAACACACAGAACCTTTTTCCTAGTATAAAGCTGCAGGATTTTTAAGCAGATTTCTTGAATTTCTTCTTCAGTTGCTCCAAACAAGAGAAACCAATGTGGTCGATTGGGCAAAGGAATCTGTGGACACAAACACATCATGTTACACTTTCCTTAACTGCAACAAGACTTAAGTCCAACAAAACTCTTAGTATGACTGAAAACAGATAAAAACTTTCATCAGAAGGTAATGGGCCAGACCAGAACACTAAGCAGTGGTGCGCTGACCTCCAGTGTCCGGGCAGCGAGGTAGATACAAGCACACGCAATGCTCTCGGGCTGGAACCGCACAAAGACATCAGTGCGGAGGCTGTCGTTCATGTAGTTCCTGAAATCAAGAGCAGGGAGAATTGCAGCACCTCGGGCAACTTTAGGTACCATCTGTTACACCTAAGGCCACTATTCCTCTATGTGGTCTACTGCTATGGCTGAGGGCTGTCAGTACTACAAGTCCCAAGAGCTAACAAAGGAATATTCTAGCTGCTTCCTGAATATAGGACAGAAAAAAAAAAGTACTAGGGAAAATGCTGGCTGAATGTCAGACAATAGGTGTTGCTATGAACAGAACCAATTTTAACCTCACTTTTCCCTCAACTTTTGGCCTATTATCATGCAAAGCACAATGTCTCAAAAAGAAAACACTACTTGGTGGTTAAGATGTACTTGATTAAAGAAATCTAAATGCTCAGATCCATAGTGCAGAGAAACATGCAAACTCAAATGAATGGGCTGAGGTCCGAGCCTCGCTCGCAGCTGTAAGACTAGGCGTCCTCCTGCATTCCTCTTCTTCAAAGTTCACGGCCTGGTCCTTCTCCGGATGACTGAGCCAAACCTTTGATGAGGGAGTCCACTTGGACAAGGAAAGAGCCCTTGCGTGCAGTTCGGGTGCATAGGCACGTCATGCAGAGGTCAACACCCCACAGTCCTCTTCGCAGGCTTAGCAAAGAACGTTTCCAAACTGTCCCATTTCAACAAGGAGTCTTAAAATGAACATTCACAGAATCAGACAGAAGTAAGACAATACTACAAATCTCATCACAGAAAGTACATTTAAAAATTTTTACCATACTTTAGAAGATATATATAATATATATGTATATATAAAACATAGTTTGAAAATTAAGACATTAAAAGGTTTTAAAATTAGCTACATTTTAAACATTTTTCTTTAGAAACACTTCTCCAAGTATTGTAAACATAAACCAAATCTAATATTAGCTTTATCAATATTGCAAAAACAATTAAAACTTCATAAGAAAACAACTGAAGAGGTTATGTACCCAATGACCAACATATCCCAATAAATGCACCGTGAACCCTGGAGTGAGGATGCATCACAGGCAGACTTGACATAAACTGCCCTTCCCCAATGTCTTTGTCCCAAATCAGGTAATATTCAAATGCACTCCAAGATGACAAACAATGAGTTCTACAGATGCCTTTCAAGAGGCAGCAGATCTGGAAGCTCTGGCTCCAGGCATCACAAGGGAAGCCAGGACCGCGGGGCAGCACAGCCACACCACCAAGAGCCTCTACGCAGATGAAAAGCTCAAATGTTAACAAATGTAACCACCAATAACTTTTGCCTCTAATAGTTTTCAATGTTCAAATATTGGTAATATTTTAAGTTTTATGCTCTCAAACAAAACCCTCAAAACATGTATAAAAACTTATTGCTATATTTGAAGTTAACACACACACACATATTTTTTTTTTCTTTTTTTGTCAGTTGTGGGGCTTCAACTCTAGGCCTGGGCGCTGTCCCTCAGCTCTTGAGCTCAAGGCAAGCGCTCTACCACTTGAGCCACAGCGCCACTTCCAGTTTTCTGGTGGTTAATTGGAGATAAGAGTCTCACAGACTTTCCTGCCTGAGCTGGCTTTGAACTGTGATCCTCATACCTCAGCCTCCTGAGTAGCTAGGATTACAGGCGTGAGCCACCAGCGCCCAGCTAAAGTTACAATATTTTAAAATATCCAAGGAGTAACTTAAAGATGCATACCTTTACTGAAATACTTTGAGACTTGAAATAATACAATCATCAACAGCCTAAATTCCCATTAGCCAATTTGTCACTTTAGTTTTAAAAGAAAGGTTCTGCATCTTTATTGCACAGGTACAGCAGTTTTAAAGGGATGATATTCAAGTCAAGACAGTTATCAACTCTAATGGATACAATTACCAAAGCAGGACAGGATTAACAAGAAGCACAATCATCAGAGAACCACAAGCAGCAGTCGGCCATGACTATACTATCGTACGCATACCACCAGTCTAGAGCCAGCCTTCGGTGGAGAGCCTGCACTGGATTGGCTGAAGACGCCGCTGTCCCTGCACCAAAGCACTTGGACAGCAGAGGAGAAGTCTTAGTCACTTACCCTCAGAGGCTACCCTTTGATTGAAAGAGTACAGAAAAGAAAAGTCAAAATAGGTTCTATAAAAGGCACGTCATAGCACCAGACAATTCAGTCAGCAATATGATCCCTACAGACTTAACTGAGGGCCAAGGGCAAAAGGACAACAGAACACCCCATACCAAAATGTTTCTTAAGGCTTCTTTCAGGTATATATATGCCTGTCAGGACCAGCTAAGAATTGGAGCAAAACCCTATCTCTGCTTTCTCCCACAGGGTACAATTCCCAGGAAATGTAACAGCATTACATCTACGTGAGCACCTGCCATTCCTCCACTTTCCTTTGCTTAGGGGGATGGTGGTGATGGGGAGAGGGGAGAAATTCAGGAGCAGAGATGGGGCACCTACCGTTACGCCAGTGCCCGTCACTTTGGGAAGCTGCTAGGTATTTACACAGCAGACCACAGGGCACTGGGACAACTCCAGCCCACAACCAAGTCATGGGACTGACTACCCACTGCCCAGGTGTCTTAAGTAACACATTCCTCACTGCCCTTGCTGGTCTGGAGAAACAAGGAAGATCAACTCACCATGCTGTCTGGACCAGGTGCTGATTACGCTCACACTCTAACACCTGAAGATACATAACGATTATCTGGAAGATATGGGTCAGGCAATTATTACCAAGGAACTCAGATCTCGTGGGTGTCCATGCAGCAAAAGAACCTTATGCTATATGCTAAGGGTGGCTCCTGGTCACAGCTGTCACGAGGATCGGCTGGAAAGGGAGTTTTTGCAATGTGCCTGCCATCTGCTAACAGTCCTCTGGCATGGAAGGACTTCTTTCTTGTCTGGCCGTGTATGTGCGTGTACACGTGTGCATGCATATGTGTATGCATGTGCTGCGCCAGTCCTGGGGCTTGAACTCAGGGCCTGGCACTGAGGTTTTGTTGCTCAAAGCTAGTGTTCTACCACTTGAGTCACAGCTCCACTTCCAACTTTTCGCTGGTTAACTGAGGTAAGAGTCTCATGGACTTTCCTAGCTTCAAACCACAATCCTCAGATCTCAATCACCAACTCACACCTCAGTTTTCATTCTTCTTGCCAATACTGTTTTATACTAGAGATAAGCCTGCCCTAAGTATCTGTGGATCCCAGCAGCCAACTTAGAATAAGACGTGAAAATGCTCTCAACAAATGAAGAGAAGCACATCTGGTGGAGACTTTGTCAAGAACTTAAATCAGTATCAGGAAGCTCAGAGCTGGGAATGTGGTTTAGAGGTAGAGTGCTTGCCTAGCATGCATGAAACCCTGGGTTCGATTTCTCAGCACCACATAAGCAGAAAAAGCCAGAAGTGGCGCAGTGGCTCAAGTAGCAGAATACTAGCCTTGAGCTGAAGAGCTAAAACAGTGCCCAGCCCAGGAGCAGAGTTAAGCCCCACAAGCAATAAATTAAATAAATAAATAATCTGAAGAGCTAAACATTAATGTCTCACACCGATAATCTTAGATACTTGGGAGGCTGAGATCTGAGGATCACTGCTTGAAGCCAGCTCAGGAAGGCAAGTCCAGGAATATCTTATCTCTAAGTAACTAGTAAAGGGCTGAAAATGTGGCTCAGTGGTAGAGTGCTTGCCTTGCATGCATGAGGCCCTGGGTTCAATTCCTCAGCACCACATAAGCAGAAAAATCCAGAAGTGGAACTGTGGCTCAAGTGGTACAGTGCTACCCTTCAGCAAAGAAGCTCTGGAATAGGGCCTAAACCCTGAGTTCAAAATAAAAATAAAGGGGCTAGCAAGGTGGCTCAGTGGTAGAGTGCTTGCCTTGCATGCCTGAGGCCCTGGGTTCGATTCCTCAGCACCACATAAGAAAAAAGCTGGAAGTTGCGCTGTGGCTCAAGTGGTAGAGCACTAGCCTTGAGCTGAAGAGCTGAGGGACAGTGCCCAAGCCCAGAGTTCAGGCCCCACAACCAGACCCAAATAAATAAATAAAAATAAAAAGCAATCTGAGGTAACTAGTAGAAAGCCAGAGTGGAGCCACAAGTGTTAAGAGCACATCCTTGAGCAAAGAATGCTAACAGATAGCACTCACGCCGAATGTAAGCCTTAACTAACACTGGCAGAGTGGCACACACACACACACAAAGTAAGACAAAGAGTGAGTGAAGGATTACATTGAGATTTCAGGAATAAACAGCAAAACAAGTCAGGGATGCAGTTTAGTCCTATGACTCGCACACACAGCAAGGAGAGAAAGCCACAACTGGAGTGTGGCTTGGATAGATGCAGACTAGGATATAACCCACCTTGTGAGGGTGCTTCACATGGACACAGAAGCCGAGCTCCTTGAGGACTCGTCTCTCTGCTTTTATGATCTGGTTCTTTAAGTTAACATACTCTTGATCCAGCAGTAGAGGCACAGGTTTCCTGCAAGGATAAACCACGTGGCCTGTCTGTATCAGAGTCAAATAAGAAAGGTTGTTCAGATTCCATAATTACTTCTAAATAGTGAGAACCGGATGCAAATACTACAGTACAGACACAACTATAAGTCTCATCTCTTTCAACAAGCAAAGTTACTAATCTCCAAACTTATGAACTTAAACCTCCTCACTACCTCCTTATCCTTATGGATAAAACTTTGGTGCACAAACGCTACCTGAATGTGGCAGAGGCTCTCAGGATCTCATTGTGTTTATGCACAATTTTCTAGCCAAGTGCCTGGCTCACATCTGCAATCCTAGCAACTCAGGAGGCTGAGATCTGAGGATCAAGGATTGAAGTCCACCCTGGCAGGCAAGTTCATGAGACTTTTATCTCCAAGTAACCAGCAAAAAGCCAGAAAGGGAGATGTGGCTTACTTGTAGTCCCTTAGCTTTTCAAAGCTGGAGTTCTACCATTTGAGTCACAGCTCCACCTATGGCTTTTTGCTTGTAATTCGGAGATAAGGGTCTCACGACCTTTCCTCCCTGGGCTGGCTTTGAACTGCAATGCAATTTTCAGATCTCAGCCTCCTGAGTAGCTAGGACTACAGATGTGAGCCACAGATGCCTGGTGCAGCAGTGCTTCTAAAGGCAATGTGCAGGGATATTTCTGGCTATCACACCTGAGGAACAGTGCTGCTGCACTCTCAGCAAGGATGTTCCCTATGCACAGGATGATCCCCCTAAGTAAAGAATCACTCAGGTAGGGCTGGGAAGGTGGCTCAGTGGTAGAGTGCTTGCCTTGTATGCATGAGGCCCTGGGTTCGATTCCTCAGCACCACATAAGCAGAAAAAGCCAG